GACAAAAGGGGCAATTTTTGCTTGTTTTTGCCCCCCCCCAGCCCCCAGAATCACTCTATAGGCCTCCTAAAGGCTATGCATGCCCTTTTTTGACAAAAAACGAGCCCGTTTTCGTGAAAAACAGGCCGTTTTTGGGAGGTCTGCAGAGTGCAGAAACTTTTTTTTTAATTTGCCTCTTCAAAATCCTATACTGCGTCTTATACTCTGGTGTGTCTTATACTCTGAAAAATACGGTATTTTTTGCAAGAACAATCCAAAGGGGTTGCAGCTGGTGTCATTTATATATATAAATGGCTGTGTTTTTTGTGTGTGTATGTTCCAGCATAACTCTGGAATGCCTCAAGCAACTTCAACCAAACTTAATACACAGATGGCTTATTCTTTGGAAACAAATACTGTGAGGGTAAGACACCCCTAACATGCCTCGGGGTGTGAGTGTGTTCTGTTAAGTTACAGCCTGTTGTGCCTTAAAATGGCTTCTACTGTGCTGCCGTAAAATGATCTACTGTACAGTGCAGTGGAGTTGCCACAGTAACAGCTTCCAGTACTCCACAAGGAGGTTCCCTCTGGTAAGGGGGAAAATCCAACATTAGAAATTACGTTTGGTCCAGACATCTCCCCCCTATAAATAAATACTTGGGCAACACTGGGATATTGGCTAGTGGCTTATAAAATAGAAAAGGTCTGATGGCCTATCTATAGTTTTCTCTGGATCACATAATATAGCAGCTAACTATATCCAACTACTATATCCATTGAATTCATGCCATTGGAGCTCTTGACTCAGCATTGCTTTAATTGTTTCTTATGAGGTCATCGCCAGTTTATGCCTGAAAATGATTTTTTTTTTTTTGCTGATTCGGTTCAGTAGCTCTCCTCTAAGCCTATTCTCTATTAATATTCTCTTCTGCCCCATTACCTTTCTGAGTATAAGAAAGAAAAGGCTCTGATGATTTGAGCACACTTTGGAGTATAAGGGGATCTCCTTTAGTTCTGGGTTTTAATAAATGGAATTGGCAATGGTAGTGCAGGGAACTATAATAATTACAATTACTACTGACCTTGGTCGTTGAGCTCCTGCTGCTGCTGTTGGTTTCCCAGGGTTTGCCCAGTAGTAGCTGTGTTGCTCTCTGCCTGGTTGCTGTGGATGAGTATTTGATCCTGTTGGGCTGAAAGAAGAAGAAGCAAAGTTGGGTGAGTTGTCCGATGTGATTAATTCATTCAATACTCAAAATATTATGACCTGTTGGAGTCTCAGTGGATAATCAGTTAAATATGAGTCAGCAGTGTGAGATGGGAGCCAAAAAAAGCCAATGCAATCCTAAGTAGCATTAACAGAGGTATACAATCAAGATCAAGTGAGGTACTAATAGCACTCTATAAAGCCTTAGTAAGACCACACCTAAAATACTGCAACCAGTTTTGCTCACCACACTATAAAAAAGATGTTGAGACTCTAGAAAAAGGGCAGAGAAGAGCAACCGGGATGATGAGGGGATTGGAGGCTAAAACATGAAGAACGGTTACAGGAACTGGGCATGGCTAGTCTAGTGAAGACAAGGACCAGGGTACACATAATAGCAGTCTTCCAATATTTGAGGGGCTGCCACAGAGAAGAAGGGGTCAATCTATTTTCCAAGGTACCCAAAGACCAGACAAGGAATTATGGATGGAAACTGACCAAGGAGAGATTCAACCTGGAAATAAGGAGTTTTTTTTCCTGATAGTGAGAACAATCAACCAATGGAACAGCTTGCCTTCAGAAGTTGTTGAGGGCTTCACCACTGGAGGCTTTCAAGAAGTGATTGGACTGCCATTTATCAGAAATGGTGTAGGATCTCCTGATTGGGCAGGGGGTTGGATTAGATAACATACAAGGTCCCTTCCAACTCTGTTAATATGTTAATCTGTGCTCTTTGGTGCCCCTCCACTTCTCAGACTTAAGATAAAAGGTAAAGCTTCCCCTCAGACATATGTGCTAGTCGTTCCCGACTCTAGGGGATGGTGCTCATCTCCGTTTCAAAGCCGAAGAGCCAGCGCTGTCCAAAGACGTCTCCATGGTCATATGGCCAGCATGGCAAAATGCCAAAGGTGCATAAAATGCTGTTATCTTATCACCAAAGGTGGTCCCTATTTTTCTACTTCCATTTTTTACATGCTTTTGAACTGCTGGGTTGGCAGAAGCTGGGACAAGTAACGGGAGCTCACTCTGTTATGTGGTGCTAGGGATTCGAACCGCCAAATTGCCAACCTTTCTGTTCAGCATCTTAGCCACTGAGCCACCGCTTACCACAGACTTAAAATATCTGTGCTAATTCTTGAGTCGGCTATTCTGTCCATCTAGGCCACATGCTATGCTAGCAGATTGTTAGAGGATGTGAAATGGTTATAGTTCTTACCAAAGAAGATTAAAACTACCTCCTCCAGTTTTCAGTTGATTGTGATTTGCAGAAGTTGCAAAATTTTCTCTCCTTTATCATTAAAATCACTGGGAGATTGGCATGCTTAACACCACAGAGTTAGAAAAGAGCATTGAACAAGTCCTGTATAATAATTACATCGCATCTTTTGCAGAGTTCCTACGATCCTGAGGAAGAGTTATCAAAATAATTGGTTTCTGTTCAGTTGCGTAACCTCTGATAGGTATCAGTCTGGATCTCAAGTGTTGCCTTTACGCTAAAACTCTAGAAATTTTTATACTGCTGATTGAAAATGGGCAGCAGGCTTGGCAAATTGTTGAAATTTTACTAGGGAAAGGATCTTAGTGTTCCCAAATTTGACATAACTGCAAATTAGGGTTTCGTGTTCAACTACAGCTATTTGAAGGGACACGGTGGCTCAATGGCTAAGCTGCTGAGCTTGTCGATCAGAAAGGTCAGCAGTTTGGCAGTTCAAATCCCTAGTGCTGCATAACATAGTGCGCTCCCATTACTTGTCCCAGCTTCTGCCAACCTAGCAGTCCGAAAGCATGTAAAAAATGCAAGTAGAAAAATAGGGACCACCTTTGGTGGGAAGTTAACAGCGTTTTGTGCACCTTTGGTGTTTAGTCATGCCGGCCACATGACCACGAGACGTCTTCAGACAGAGCTGTCTCTTCAGCTTAGAAACAGAGATACGCACTGCCCCCTAGAGTCGGGAACAACTAACACATATGTGCGAGGGGAACCTTTACCTTTACAGTTATTTGATTCTCTTTGGCCTCTTGCCTAAAGTGTGTTTGTGTATGCGTAGCATTGTTGGGTAGAGAAGTTGCAACTTCTTAGCAGGGCATAAGCAGAGGGCAGCAGGAGGGATGGCATCAGGAGTGAAAGGGGGGAAAATAACTCTAGAAGTCAGGGGATAATTAATTCAATGTTCCTAAACATGATATATCAAAAAACATGTGAGTTATTCAGGTGACTTGATATTGATTTGAAATCCCAAAGGACATCATTACTGTACAAAGCTCGGTAAGCTTTACGCTGGAGTGGATAACTTTTTGGCTCAGCTACCAATTTTTGTAGGCTCCAAGGATACTCATTGTTGCGTCTAGGAAATGACATTGTTATGAAGAGCTGGGTGTTATTTTGTTTTGTTTTTGTCAAAACAGGGGCTACTCCCCCACAAACATTTCTCTGAAATAAATCATTTCTGACTGTCCTGGATACACCTGAGATCAGCTTTCACCTAAATTTAAAATAAAGATAGATATAGATATATATATCCAATTTGAATAAACCTTGAGTCGACTACAGCAGGAGTCTCAAACCTTGGCAACTTTAAGACTTGTGGACTTCAACTCCCAGAATTCCTCAACCAGCTGGCTAAGTCCACAAGTCTTAAAGTTGCCAAGGTTGGAGACCCCTGAACTAGAGCCTTTGAGGTAGAACAATATTCCCTTCAAAGCAGGGGTGGGCTTCAAAAATTTTAGCAAGCGGTTGTCTGCCTGGTTACTGGGTGGGTGTGGCTATAGTGGGCGTGACCATGCCCGCCTCCTGCACCACGGTGGTGGGGAGTTTTTGCCCTCCCTGGGCTCCGATGGCTTTCTTTGAGCCTCCGGGAGGGCAAAAACGGCCTCCCCAGGCTCCGCAGGCCCTCTGGAAGTTGGCCTGTTTATGGCCTTCCCGAACTTCTGGTGGGTCCGTTTTTCACCTTCCCCGAGCCTTCGCATGCGCTCTGCATTTACCGCATCCAAAATGGGCCACGTGGGCTGGAAGGGAAGGGGAGGGGTGGGCAGGGCCAGCCAGGAGTGGGATTTGAGGGTTCTCCAAACTTCACAGAATCTTAGCTAGAGGTTCTCCCAAATCCTTCCGAGCCCCCAGCAGCCCAGCCCTGCTTCAAAGTAATCAGACTGATTCACTTTAGATGTCTGCGTGACCTTACGGACTTTTTAAGTTGCTCTGAGAGAAGCATCTCAAAATTTGAAACATGATTTCTGTTGAGGGATCCCCCAACAGAAAACAGATTTCTGTGCCAACACAACATAGATACTGTGTCTGCATCATTAATCTGTTTCCCGTTCAATTAGCCATTTATTCAGCATTGCCCTGCGTTTTTATCAGCCTACCAAATTATAGGATGACAAATCAAAGTTCTGCCACTTGGGAGTCTCACGCTGCCTTCTCTGTCCTCGTTCTGCGGGTGGCTTCTGTCTGCTGACTTTGGTGTAGTCATTTGAACTTTAGTCCACATCACGTTTTTATGTCTTTTGCATGTTCCCCCTGCTCCTGGCAAATGTTAAGTCTCTGTCTGCTTATCCAATTCCAGGCCCAGATGGGTGTCATTTTTGTAAAGACCAATTCGTGAGCATATGACACTACTTGAATTAAACATGTTATTTATTTTATAANTCACCAAGGCAGTAGCAGTGAACTTAAATGGTGTGAACTTAAATGGACTTAAATGGGGATGGTACAGGACAGGAAGGCCTAGAGGAATGTTGTCCATGGGGTCGCGATGGGTTGGACATGACTTCGCAACTAACAACAATAATTGTATACAGATCGAAGTGTCCCTTATACAGGGAAGAGTTAAACAGATTACTTACTCTCTGGAAACAAATACTGTGGGGGTAAGACACCCCTAACACCCTTATACAGGGAAGAGTTTTAGACATTAAAGAAAAATGTTGGAATCCTGCAGAATAGATTGTCCTTGAAGGAAAAGGGAACATGAAACTCTTCAGCATGTGGACAAGAAATACATTTCAGCAACTGATAAACTTCACCAAGCCTTCATAAATTCTCCCTGGATGAACTCACTGTTAGGCCTGGTGATTTCTAATCCTTCTATAAAGTAGTGGCACCACATTCAAAATAAATATAACTCTTAGAAGACAGGAGACAAGCATTGTTACATTGCAATGGCAATGTCTGAGATGGTACTGTGTTTCCCCAAAAATAAGACAGGGTCTTTTTTTTTTTTGACCCACAAAATAAGCACTTGGCCTTATTTTCAGCAACGTCTTATTAGTTTTTGAGGTACAGGAGGCAGCGAGCGTGGTCACCTCATGGCTGCTGCTATGTTGCAATATTTTGGGGAGGGCTTATTTTCGGGAGAGGGCTTATTTTAGCACATGTTTGGGCTTATTATCCAGGGAGCAGTGGTGGTTTCCTGCCAGTTCGGACCAGTTTGACCGAACTGGTAGTGGTTGGGCAGCCTGGGTACAAGTTTAATTGTACTGCACATGTGCACCAGTGGTGGGTTCTGGGAAGTACGCCCCAGTACAGGCCTACCGGTGGCAGCTGAGAGCAGTGGCCACCTTACTGGAAAGGTGTTTCGGTGGGCCGCTTGCTCGCCCACGTTCCTAATTTCTTTTTAAGCCATCCTGGCCATTTGCACACACGCGCACAATGTACGGCGCCTGCGCGACCTCCGCCAAGCAGCTGGAACATCACAGGGTGGTGGTGAGTGCATGCATGATCCATGATCCTCCGCGATGCTCCAGCTTCTCAGTGGAGCATCGTGCAGGCGCTGTACCCGCCATGTGCTTGTGCAGAAGCACCGAAGACTCAAAAGACCGGTAAGGAGCTCAGGCGGGCGGGTGTAATCTAGTGTTATATAATGGTTTAAACTAATCATTGTTTTATTTAACGAGACGGTTGTACCCCACTATTATATAATGGTTTAAACTAATCATTGTTTTATTTAACGAGACGGTTGTACCCCACTATTATAGAATGGCTTAAAC